CCGCCGCCCGGCGTGCGAGCCTCCGCCGGCCGGCCCCGCCAAGGGGCGGGTGGTCGCCCGGGAAGTTTCCGGCGCCGGGTTCCTGTGAGACCGCGGCGGCTCACCGGCGCCTGTGTTCTCTCTCCCTCCTGCGCTGCCGCTCCCTTCCTCCGCGCCCCTTCCTTCCCGCGCCCCTTCCCTGCCCCTTCCCTTCCCCTTCCCTTCCCCTTCCTCTTCTCCTCTCTCTGCTCCCCTTCCCTTCCCCTTCCTCTTCTCCTCTCTCTGCTCCTCTTCCCTTCCTCTTCTCTCTCTGCTCCCCTTCCCCTTCCTCTTCCCGCTCCCCTTCCCTTCCTCTTCTCCTCTCTCTGCTCCCCTTCCCCTTCCTCTTCCCCTCTCTCTGCTCCCCTTTCCCTTCTTCTTCCCCTTCCCCGCTCCCCTTCCCTTTCCCTTCCCCATTCCCCTTCCTCTTCCCCACTCCCCTTCCCTGTCCCTTTCCCCACTACTCTTTTCCTGCTCCCCTTCCCTGCTCTCCTTCCCTTCCCTGTCCCTTTCCCCTTCCTCTTCCCCTCTCCCCTTCCTCTTCCTTTCCCCTTCCCTGCTCCCCTTCCTGTCCCTTCTCCTTCCCCACTCCCCTTCCCTTCCCCGTCCCTTCCCCTTCCCTTCCCTGTCCCTTCCCCTTCCCTTTCCCTGTCCCTTCCCTGTCCCTGTCCCTTCCCCTTCCTCTTCCCCACTCCCCTTCCCTTCCCCGTCCCTTCCCCTTCCCTTCCCTGTCCCTTCCCCTTCCCTTCCCTTCCCTGTCCCTTCCCCTTCCCTTTCCTTGTCCCTTCCCTGTCCCTGTCCCTTCCCCTTCCTCTTCCCCACTCCCCTTCCCTTCCCTGTCCCTTCCCCTTCCCGCTCCCCTTTCTTGTCCCTTCCCTGTCCCTTCCCCTCCCTGTCCCTGTCCCTCTCCTTCCCTGTCCCTCTCCTTCCCTGTCCCTGTCCATTCCCCTTCCCTGTCCCTTCCCCTCCCTGTCCCTTCCCCTCCCTGTCCCTTCCCCTTCCCCGTCCCTTCCCCTTCCCATCCCTTCCCCTTTCTGCTCCCTGCCCCTTCCACTTCCCTGTCCCTTCCCCTTCCCCTTCCCATCCCCTTCCCCTTCCTGCTCCCTGTCCCTTCCCTGCCCCTTCCCATCCCCTTCCTGCTCCCTGTCCCTTCCCCTTCCACTTCCCGCTCCCCTTCCCCTTCCTGCTCCCTGTCCCTTCCCCTTCCACTTCCCGCTCCCCTTCCCCTTCCCATCCCCTTCCCCTTCCCGCTCCCTGTCCCTTCCCCTTCCACTTCCCGCTCCCCTTCCCCTTCCCGCTCCCCAAGGCCGAAGAGACAAGCGAAGCCCGCGGCGGACGAAGGCTTCTGGGACTGCAGCGTGTGCACCTTCCGAAACAGCGCGGAAGCCTTCAAGTGCAGCATCTGCGACGTGAGGAAGGGCACCTCCACCAGGTACGCCCGCCTCGCCCGCCTCGCCTTTTGTTCCGAGCCGCCTCCTTTCCGAGGTGGGGAGAGGGCGAGGAGCCGCACTCCTGCCCTCTGCAGCCTGTTGATTGGGGTGGCCCTGCGTTTGGGCTGGCTCTGCGTTTGGGGTGGCCCTGCGTTTGGGCTGGCTCTGCGTTTGGGGTGGCCCTGCGTTTGGGGTGGCTCTGCGTTTGGGCTGGCTCTGCGTTTGGGGTGGCTCTGCGTTTGGGGTGGCTCTGCGTTTGGGGTGGCTCTGCGTTTGGGGTGGCTCTGCGTTTGGGGTGGCCCTGCGTTTGGGGTGGCCCTGCGTTTGGGGTGGCCCTGCGTTTGGGCTGGCCCTGCGTTTGGGGTGGCCCTGCGTTTGGGCTGGCCCTGCGTTTGGGGTGGCCCTGCGTTTGGGGTGGCTCTGCGTTTGGGCTGGCCCTGCGTTTGGGGTGGCCCTGCGTTTGGGGTGGCCCTGCGTTTGGGGTGGCCCTGCGTTTGGGGTGGCCCTGCGTTTGGGGTGGCTCTGCGTTTGGGGTGGCCCTGCGTTTGGGGTGGCTCTGCGTTTGGGGTGGCCCTGCGTTTGGGGTGGCTCTGCGTTTGGGGTGGCTCTGCGTTTGGGGCTGTGTGTTTCGTGTTGGGTGCAAAGCCTCGCGTTCACTGAATGCTTTATGGGAGGGAGTTTTTCCAGGTTTTCTCGGCTTGTTTCAAACACTCCGGGTTGATCTGACACTTGTCGGTTGGCTCACTGGTATTGGCTTAGAGAGAGGGGCAGCAGTGCTATTACTGTGGATCCCAGGACGGACCCTTTTATTTTTGCCATTTACAGAGTGGTTTTAATTTGCCTGTCCTGAGTTATTTCTCCCCTCTCTGAGAAATTTAGTGGTGGTGGTGTTACAGTAAGGCTGGTTATGCCTTTCCTGTCTTAAGCTGCAAATGTCTGTTATTTTCTTGCACTCGAAGAAAGTAAATGTTGGGGGTTTGATAAAGAAAGTGCATTTTTTTGGCAGGCTGAGCTGTCAGTTTTTTTTTTTATTAGCTTATGCAGAGTGATGATGGAGGACCATTTTGCAAAATGGTGAAATGAATAGAGTGACTATGTTGAAGTTTGTGTTTAAAGAGAATGTGGAAAGAATTCCTCCTCGTTTAGACGAAGGTAGTAAACTGCATGTGGTATCAAAACGAGTTGACCTACTTTGGATTTAACATTTAGACATACTTGGATAAAATACAAAGACTGATTTTGTAGTCGTTGGGTCATCTTTTAACTTTTGTCTGGAATTGGTTTCAGTGGTGTTAGGGTTTGACGGTAAACTGTTCTTGGTGTCATTTAATGAGCAGGCATTGGCACGTGTGAAAGTGAGGCAGAATAAGTGAGTTTTTGGTGGATCCTTTAGAACTTAAAAGTTGACTGCCAAAAGTCTCGTTTCTTCAGGTACTTGTTTTTGAGTTGGTGGCGTTCCAGTATGACTGTGTAGTAGTCATATTCCACTCGGATACTGTTCTTTGATTAAATGAATGTGTCCTGTTGGGTTTTCATTGGTTTATTTACATGTGGTATTGAATAGGATATTGGGCAACCTAAAAGAATATAACTCTGGGATTAATTGGCCCAATTACTGGTTTTGCAAATTCCATTAACTCTTTAAATAATGAGACCTTTGAATAAAAATATTCAGCAACTAAAAATATTTCCCCATAAGTTGTTTAATAAGAATTCATTATCATAGATTTAGTTAAAGTAAAAAACACGCGTCGGTGGTTTTATAGGTTTTGTTTTGCTGTCTAAAATAGGGAATTCCATCAAATGGCTTAAAAGTTTAGAAGTGTATTTGTTACTTAAAGCAATAGTGATTGTATATTATTTATGAGTAATGTTTTTTACATGTAGAATCCCTCAGAGGCCAAACCTCTTTATTGTGGTTTTGCTTTGAGAGTTACCGTAGATGATGTTCAAGTACGTGACTAGGAAACTCCTAAGAACTTGAGAACCTTACTGGTGAAGAGAAACTTAAACCAAATTCAAAAGTTTAGGTTTGATTTATTGCTGGGAATAATTATCTCATAATGAAGTGCATTTCAGTTTTTGCATGTATTTTTAAAAATCTGACTCATCAGTGTTTTTGGAAGCATGCAGGTTTTGACTTTCAAAACAAAGTATATGAAGTTTTTTTTCAGAGCTACAAATGATGTCAGTGAAATTCAGTTTTTAAAAAGATAGTAAGTTATTAGTAATTAAAATATGTTAGAGTCTCTGTAGGGATAGGAAACTCACCTACCTTGTTTTAGGGTCTTCTGTAATTTTTTGATGAATGTCATTGAGTAGGATTTTCTTCTTTTTTCTGTTCTTTTCCTTCTAAAAGCTGTCACTATATTTGCACATTGATTAGGAATTGAACACAGATTTCACAGGTCTGAAGACTTAAACTCTATCACTTCATGATGCTCTTAGCTGGCTGAAATTTATTTTGGTTATTATCAATGTTTTGGTCTTTTAGATCTATTCAGAAGTCACCATTAATTAGAATGCCAATAATATTTTGGCTTTCCTATGTTATGAACAGATCGCATGTGGAGAAGTGATTTTGACAGGTTTCCATCCTGTTCTGTCCTGTGTATTAACAGTTGGTTTATTTTTCTGTGATACTGGTTACTGCTATGATTTTTTCTTGGGCCTTTTTCTTGTGATTTTTTTGTACCTCAAGGGTTTGATATGAACTTGACCTTTTCTGTCTTGTATAGTATTAATCACACTTGGTGTGGTAGTAGAAAACATGTTGGGTTTGGATGCTGGGTAATCAGCAAAAAATTGTGATTTTTATAATAATTTTTTGCCTGGCACAGAAATGGACTTTTATTGCTTTGAGCTGTTTTGTATTTTAACAGGCTTAGCTAGCCATTGGTTATTTTGGAGTTTTCCATCATTCTTATCCCCATCATGTGCTAGTCAACCAAGGAAATCGGCTTCGTGTTAGTGGTAGTCGAGTAGGATAGAGAACTGTATTTGCCTTTTGAGGATAGACTTGATACTCCCCAGCTTGATTGGGAAGATACTGCTAGTCATCTAAACAACAGTTATTAAATTCCTAGGATGTGACAGACACTGCCCAAGGTATTGGGGAGAGGGGAGGGAGGGAGGAAGGAGGGTTACGGAGTGACCTTTAACCCAAGTGGTAAAGGGTCCACGAGCACTGTAAATAAAGTGCCATGGGAGGCAGAGCACAGACCTGGGGAGTCAGTTAGACGGACGCCTGCCCCCATTTGTTGTGGACAAGGAGAAGTGATTCCTGCAAAACCACCTGTCAGCCTTTCACTCCTGTTGCCAGATGCATCACATATTTCTACTTCTGCAGGTGGGATTGTGGAGGTGATGAAGAATAAAGCTCTTTTTTTCTTTGTGGAGCAGCACAGAGCAGAATGAAAGGAAGAGCGTATGTCCTGAGGAATATATTAAGGGAAGGAGGAGGAGGCACTTCATGGGCTATTTGGAGGTTCAGGGCCAGCAGAGATCTGTCTTTTAGGTGTATTATCCACTCTGTGTTGGGTCTCTTCGCTTCTTTGATACATTTCTTTTCCTAACTATACTGTCCTGCTCTTTACACCTTGCTGGCTCTTTTTCTTAAAGTTTTATTGAGGTGTAATTTGCATATTATTCCATAATTCCCCTGTCGGAAGTGTGCAATTCAACGATTTTTAAGGAGTTGTGCAACCATTGCTACAACCCAGTTTTAGAGCATTTTCCATCACGCCAAATGGTTTGGTCTTGAACGTGGTGTGGAATACTTTTAAGTCCTCGGTGGCAGAGCGTGGCAGTCATGGGCAGCTGGGAAGGCTGCTTCCTCCGCGTGCTGCTGATGGCCCTGAGGCTTTCAAGGTGGAACCTAAGAGTGTGTGTGTAAGGTGGCAGGTGGGTGGGGAAGAAACACCGTCCCTTTCTTTAGCCATAGCTAAAGTAGGGTTTCCCATCCCGCTTTGCCAGGCTCAGGAAGGGAGGGAGGGTACCAGCTTTGAAAAGAAGGAAAAACAATCTACCAATGCGCGAATTTACCTGTTTTTGTTAAGTTGAAGTTCTCAAGTGTTGGGCAGAGGAACTTCTTATAAACTTGGTGATAAGTTTTATTCTGTGGTCTTACTTCTCTGAACAAAGTGTTATTGTAAAATCAAAGTTGTCAGGACACTGCGGCGTGTTCTTGTTGATGAGTTTCTTTGCTAGCATTGCCGTATTGTTGCCTTCAGCTGCTGCTTAAATCACACTCGCTTGAAAAATTGGAAAATGTTTGCTCTCCTTCATTACCATAAATTTAGAACTTTTCTGGTCTTTAGTGCCAGGATTTATCACTGTGTTGAATCGAAGTTGTGTTTCATTTTGTCCCTGTTTATTTGAATACTGCCCCCTGAAAAATGTACTGGTTTTAAGAGCTTTTATAGACAAGTTGAAGCGAGGAAATTACTTTAGATGTATAATAAGATTGTGTAGAAATAACTAGTTCTTAAAAAAGTTGATATTCGGCATATCTACTTGGAAGGGTTGAAGCAGCAGCTGCCTATGTGTGAAATGTCCCTTGTTTGGGAACTCTCCAATTCATTGTGGTTGTGACTTTGACCCCCACCACGGCCCCTTAAATTGTGAGGCCCTGACAACGCAAAATCTCTTGAATAGTCATGAAGTACTTTTAAAGTTTTATGGGAAAACGCAGCATAGTTATGATTTTTGCTGGAATCTTCAAAAGGGTATCATTCTTTGATGCTTTTTAAGTAGGAAAACTTCTAGAAAGAAGAGAAGGTACCTGCAGTGGGGCAGAGCCAGGTGTCTTATCCGCATTTGCTGGTAATCCACAGGTTTGGCTTTTTAGGTTGTATTGGCTTTGTTGTAGCGTTTGTCTTTCATAAAATTCTCCTTAAAATACATCCAAAAGGCTGGGTATGGTGGCTCACACCTGTAATCCTAGCACTTTGGGAGACCCCAGGCAGGAAGCTTGCTTGAGGCCAGGAGTTTGAGACCAGCC